GAGTTGATTTTTTTTTCCGTACTTTCCTTACCCCATTGGAAATTTTATTATTTTTCATTCTTTTTTTTACATCTGTAAATTTTGTTAATGTATGCCTAAAACAAGCACACACACACACAGAATATATTTTTTAACTGGATAAAAAAAAAATTAAGATGTGGAGTTGCAAACATAATGATCAGTTATACTGATCTTATTTGCATTTAGATATTTTTACAAGACAAAAATGCTGATATAGAAAATTACTTTTTGCAGAGCAGACAAATAAACACACGCACTCATGTGTGTGTGTGAAAATAATGAGTTAAGACTGATAACCCTGTAGTGCAGTTTGTTATGAGAAGAGGAGACAGAAAACTTACTGTACGCTCCCACGAACAAGCAGTTCATAAGAATGTACAGCCTTTGCAACAACAAAGTGATGACAGGACATGACATACAATTTGTGGCTGAATCGATGAAACCCAATACCAATCCGACCTACTTGTTATATAGGACAATATCGGGTCTCCATACATAACTACTAGGTATACGGATGGTATCAAGCCCATCGTAGTCTGTCTTATTCCAGGTGAGGTAGGCATCAAACCACACCTGACGAATCCACAAGTACGTTGTGAGGATCTGGTTTCTTTCATCCTAGAAAATAAAGACGGATTTCACAATTTAACAAATACATTATTATTATATAATAATGTTAACAAATACAATCCAGTCAGCAAAATAAATGCCAAAATCAGTTAAAAATAGCTAAAATTGTGTGACACTGATTGAAAAACATATTAAATGAAAGAAACAGTTGACGTATTTGCTCAGACAGCACAATTCAAAGGTATAGAGCAAAGCAGTGAAACAAGACATCAAAAAGACAGAGAGAGAATGGGAACGAATGTGTGATTGACCGAGAGAGAGAGTCATTACCATATCAATGATCTGGGAGAGAGTGATCTGCAAGGTGACGTTAATGATGTTGTCCGTGTCCTCCACAGGCCTCAATGCACTGGTGTAATTCACAAATAAATCATTCAGCAGCTTGAATGCATATTTCCCCTGGGCACACAAACACACTGAGGAAACACACAAGAGGAAAGTGATTTAGATTTGGCCGATTTGTTTTATTTAGATTGATTAATCAATTAAGACACAAAGTCAAATGGTGGTTCCTTGAGTATATTGAGTAAAACAGCCTATCCTCACATCCTTAAAGGGATAGTTCACTTTGAAATTAATTGTTGATATGTTTTAGCTTACCTCAAGGGCATCCAAGATGTAGGTGTCTTTGTTTCCGCAGTATTTTCAGCTTTGATATTTTTAGGTCAAACCGTTCTTGTCTGTCAGTCATATAATGGAGGTCTATGGTCACCACCTCACAGAGCATGCACAGAGAAATCCAAATTAAACATGATTTAATGACTCGTAAATGTAAGTACACATTGATGGCGAAGTACATGTGAAGTACACATAGTTTTTACCTCTTGTAACCACAGCCACGTCCAAGTGATCTGAGGACGCGAGAGAGCCGGAAAGCGCCGGAACTAGTGATCTCTCGCGCGTGTACGTCACTCATTGTTTACGCAGAGATTTCGAAGCGTTACTTTTCACTGTGAAGATCTAAACATATTTAGATATACAGGAAATCGCAATGGAAGTCGATTTCAATATATCAACAGACAACGTTGTGTGTTTTTTTTTTCACAACCATATTTATATCACTTCCGATGCTTGTGCAGACCAAAGCGCTCGCGCGCTCAGATCACTTGGACGTGGCTGTAATTACAAGAGGTAAAAACGATATAAATACTGTTCATTTTCTCACACAAACCTCTCATTTCGTCTTTTAGGCCATCAATGTGTACTTACATTTACGAGTCATTAAATCATGTTTAATTTGGACTTCTCTGTGCATGCTCTTTGAGGTGGTGACCATAGACCTCCATTATATGACTGACAGACAAGAACGGTTTGACCTAAAAATATCAAAATTGAAACTACTGTGGAAACAAAGACACCTATTGGATGCCCTTGAGGTAACCTAAAACACACCAAAAATGTATTTCAAAGTGAACTATCCCTTTAATGAGCTTGGTGTTTTGGGATGGAATAGTTTGGTGAGTGTCTAGGACTGATAAAGAATAATCTGAGCATCAGACACTGATGGGCCCTCTCAATGTAATAATATTCCCTGTACTGATTTCCCAAATCGATTCTTGCTGACACAGGACGCTTTATCAAAAAGCGCCAGTAACAGGAGAGCTACAACAACCCTTCAAACTGCAGTCCATATATTTGGCTGAACTACGGCCACACCGCGTGCTGCAGGGGAACTCTAGTGAACAAGCACGATTACTCAATTACCCCTCCTGTTCTCTGAGGATGAGTGTGCTCAGCGCTTTCACTGGCGAATTAATTCACTTCAAGTGCCAGACAAAATAGCGCTCTAATGAAAGTTAAAAATGGAGGCTGTGGTGTGAAAAGGATGTGTGAGATCCAGCTGGCAGCGCTGCTGTCCTGCAGCAGGAATTGAGCAGGAAGTGCTCAGAAAGTATCAAATTCTTCTGACCAAAAACACTGCTGTCAAAGTTGCTTCTTCAGACCAAATGCAAAAATGCTTCAAGGAGTCTGTTGGGTACCTATTTGGGCAACTGCCACAGATAGAAATAAACTTTTAAAACAGTACATTTAAATATGCAACATTACATTACAAGTTATTAAAGTTTCCTAGGATGTGCGTGGACCTTAGAATGAGTACAATTGTTGAATCTCCAATATGTAAATTACAGATCCTCCAGTCAATAAACATACAGGAACCAATCACAGGAGTTCCATTTTTGCATAATAAATAAAAATTAAAAAAAATCACATTGTGCAAACATAAGTGCAACATTGAATTTAACTTGACAGAATTTTTTCTAAAAATATATATATATATATATATATATATATATATATATATATATATATGTAATCTGTAATTGTAGGCCTATATATATATATAATTGTAATCTGTAAAGATCTATAATTTACAATACAGGTATGGGATTTAAATTAAAAGTCATTTAAAAAAATTAAAAGTACTTTTATTGATCAAGGACACATTCAATTGATCAAAACTGACAGTAAAGACATTTAATGCTGTTCTTTTGAACTTTCTATCCTGACAAATAAAATGCATCACAGTTTCCACAAAAATACGAAATGATAATAATCAGAATTTTTACGAGTAGCAAATCAGCATCTGGAGTAATGATGCTGACAATTCAGCTTTGACCACAGGAATACATTTCAGTTTCCTATATTCCCACAGAAAAAAAGCTATTTTAAATTGTAATCATATTTCACCCTTCTCCTAGAAAGATGTAACTCTGCTTTTGCTGCCTAAGGCCAGTGGTTTCTACTTTGCTTGGTAAAATCTGGTAAAAAAATTTGATTAAAAAATATTAAAATTGTTATTTATTTATTTATAAGGGACTAATTAATGCCCAATATCCAAACTGAAATTATGTGCTCTAAATTATTTATTTTGAATTTTTTTCATATTGTACAAAGATTGAACATAAATCATCTGAAATATTTTTAATGTATTTTTGTAATGCAAATGGCATAAAAATAATAATAAAATAAAGTACTTTATGTATATGAACCATAAATTGAATATAAAAATCACAAAACCTGCCAACCAAGGACATGTCATTCATGAAAAACACTGAATTTGGAATCATGGGGTGCACCCATAGACTGTAAAAGGGTGCACCACTGCAGTCAAAATTTACAGGTCACCTAAACAAAACAAACGATCATTCCAAACAAAGTAAAAATATTTGTAGAAATAACTTTGTTCATTGTTGTTGTTTTAGGTCATATAGGCTATCCAAAATGTGGAAACTACTTAAAAAGTTTTTGTTTTTGTTTTGTTTTATTTGAGAGAGAGTTACAAACCTGCTTGCTGATAACATGGGTTCTTGGCAAATTGGTTTATGATGCATGCAATGTCCTGTTTTTGAATGATTTGAAAATAAAAATCCCAGTGGGAAGTGGTAGTTTCCTGATGGTCGATATTTCATAAAATGGACATCATCGGACAACGTTTGTTTGTATATTATGATATACAGGATTACAAAACTCTTTGGAAATCATGCCAAATAATCATTCATTTCAAAGACGTTTCCAAAACAGCATTTATGGCCGGAATGTTGCACCACATGATATTTTAACACTTTAAATGACAACAACTACAAATAACTAATGCTTTTTGAAAAGTTAAAGTGACAAACATGTCAGAGGTACAATGATATATTTGCATGAATTTAAACCCTTTTTAGCTGATGAAAATGCAAGTCCAACATTGGACAGAAAATTGGACGTCACTGACTCATGTCATATCAATAAGTAATTATGACCTTCAAACTAAGATATAGCCGACCTATGAAAACAAAACAAAAAAAAATACTTAATTGGAAGACTGAATTCATAAATATTAATAAGAAGAGCGCACCCTTACCTGGAATAAACCCAATGGTGGCAATCAAATGGAAAGAAGCCCAAATGACACGTGGATTCATTTTGTGGCGTGAATGAGGAATAAAAACTCATCTGTGGTCTCGTCGTGAAGGCAGATTCAGCATTTCTCAGACAATTCCCATAGTTCAGTGCCGTATTGAGACCAAGCAGATCCATGCGCAATTCTCGGGATAGAGAAGTGTCGCGTGCCAGTTCAGCGATGACGAGTTTCACTGGAGTAACGTACTGGTAGTCGACTCGAGTGTCTGAAAACATGCCGGTAGCTGTGGGAGCGTTGTGTTAGGCTACTAGTAATACATGTGTGGGACTGGAGAGTGCAGACATGGGAACTGAGAGGAAACTAAGACCACTATCAAACACTTAGAAATCTGCAATCCATTTTTCACTCAGACAATGCTGACATTAATTTGTATGAATTTTTACATAGTTCTGAGGCTTTTTTTTACCCCACTATACATAAAAACTACACAGAAAAACGTTCATTAGAAATTCAAAGTATTTTATTCGTAGTTTTATATTTTTTTTAATATATAAGCACATTCATGCACATCCGCAAACACGCACCCATTCAAAGAGCAAAACCTTAATTATCTGAAGCATAATCTGTCATAAGTCAAGTTTAATGTTTTTAGAAAATAAACCTTACATGAAACGAGCACATTACTAGAGGCTGGGGCATTTGTTTCACAAAATAACACAGAGGATGAAGGGTTCACATAATGCTGTAATGTAATTACATCAGCGAAACCCTATCCTAGTCAGAAGAGATGTCAGGTTGACATTAATTAAAGTTTTATAAGAATCGCCAGTCACATATTGTTGAACACTTAAGAACCACAAAATAGATTTCTATGAACGTTCTTTGATCAATAGCATTGAATTTATTAAGTTTTACATACGGTAAACCTTCAACAATAAGGTTTTCCAGATCACCATGTTGAAAACACTACAAAAATAGATAAGCCCATCTTTATCGTTGCCAAGTATTTTTTTTGTTGTGAGGAGAGATTCGTTTTAAATAAATGCTTAATCTCTTCAACAAAAAAAAACAAAAAAAAAACCCTCATTACAGGCTAAGCAACCTTATCATTTACACAAAGCACGCTTGCAACTTATAGACCAAGGCAATCCATAGGAACAATAAAAATACTGTACTTACAAAAGGTTACAACACATGGTCACACTAAGATTTAAAAACACTATGGCTGAAAAGAACGGTCGAAACCTTTTTTTTTTAAATGTCTTAAAGAATTGTTTAAGGTAGGCCCTAAACAACACAATATTATATTTTAGCTTTGAATGGACCAGATGATACTTAAATGTAACTGAATAGACAAATGAAGTGTTCATTTTCCCTCTGAGTATCTTAGGCAGATTAAGTCAACAGATGTTTTCAAATAGATACTTTAATTATAAAAGACACTCACACATCATGTCTATGACTACAAAACAGGATATGAAAAAAAAAAAAAACCCTACACAAACACACAAAGGAATGCTTTATTCACAAGTATTGTGCCTAAATATGCATCAAAAGTTCAACCACGGCCTGAAACAGCCATATAATTAGAGTGCTGAAGGTAATTCCACTCAAGACTCATGTTACTTCTGCATAACTGATCGAGAAACCTAGATCTTGATATTCAGTGACTGATAACATACTCTTGCAGGTACGACTGAGTAAGGCTGCGGAGTTCCTCTAAAGCGTAGTCCTCTGGCATGGGTAGACGTCCAATGTGTGGAGCAAGCTGGCAAAGAGGGATGCGTCTGGGATCCGGGGTGCCTTCACCACCCTGCTGGAGACTCAAAACCACTCGGAGGATGTTAGCCACACGCTTGGCCATCTCTATAAGGCAAGAAGTTATTGTGAGGATTCATAACGTTCATCAATCCAATAAGGTTTTAACCCTTGTGCATCAATTAAAAAAAGTTACACATAGGTAAAAAAAAAGGACAAAAATGTCCAAGTCAAAAAACTGTCATAAAAATGTGACGCTTTGGAGCACTTAAGGTTGGTTTCATTTTAAAGAAGACCCTTTGCAGATTATTGCTGAAGTAAAATAATAATAATAAGCAAATCCAAAAAAAGTTATATAGTTATAAGTTTATGAAAATTATTTATAAAAAATATTTTATATAAAATATATATTTTATAAATCAGGTTGAACTCAAAACTACAATAAAATCAAAGCCATAAATCTAAATAGGTTGTGTTCCAAATTTGAGGATGATATCTCAAAAAAATGAGCTTTCGGTAAGTTTGTTTGGGCGTAGTAACATATTTTCCCCATTGGGTGCCAGCAAAACCCCACTGGAGCTCACAGTGATTGGATTTGAATTTGCAGTTTTTCTCTCTCAGTATTACAAACACACACACACATATTTTTTTTATAACACACATACTAACCACACTCTGACATCCATACCAACACACCCACACAAATATTGTTGCATAATTTATCCAGTTGGCTCTATAGTATGCCGAACCAGTAAACAGGAATAAAGCGATATTTGTTTTATAGGCCAAACTTAAAAACATGGCACCATCTGATAAGAAAAAAAAAAATAGTAAAAACTAAAATTTTGAAGCCTTGCCATCAGAATGAAAGCCTCTAACAAAGATTGCATAATTTTAGTTAACTGAACCGGCGATTAAAAATGCCAGTTTTAATGGGTTTCAATGGGGACATTTTTGTCCAAAAGGTATTTTTGTACCTAATGCAAAAAATATTTTTTTAAGAAAATGACGGTCAAATAGTAAAATTACAATAAAAATACACACCTGTGCCAAGTTTTTTTTTGCAGTTAGCTTTAACACAGGCAAAGTGATCAAAAAAACAAAACTGAAAAGGACAAAAATGTCCATAAGGATGCACAAAGGTTAAATTGATTTTCTAGCCAAAAATTAGTAAAGAAAACCATTTAAAACTAGCTTTTCAGCAACATTATTTCCGTATAAACTAAAACAGAGGAAATGAATTTCAGACCTGATTGGGCAAGTCTGTCTTTAGCTTTGGAGCAGGGGAGGAGCTCTATCCTCTCACAGAGAGACTTGACCTCTGTATGCAGGCGCTCCAGCGCATAACCTGGGCTTTCAGCCTATAGATAGATCATCACATTAAACCTTTATTCAACTGAAGCAACGTACTTCCCTGAAGCAGCAGCAGGTTACCTGTTGGATGTCCTGCAGTGTCTGGATGACATGGATGTAATCAAGGTAGACCCGTCCAGACGTGTCCCAGCTCTGAATCTGAACACTGCGCTCTGGCACTGCCAACCCCTCCAGGAATTCCAGCAGGTACTTATGATTATCATTAATTATGCAGTCTAAGGACAAAAAAGACGAGAAGACGGCATTAGGCCGGTTTGAAGGACAGGACTATATTTAACTTTTACAGAAAGCTCTATGCAGTAAATATGTTAATGGAGTCACACTGGGCCATAAATTTTCTCCCGACGAACTGGCTGGCGCCTTGCATGGCTGACACCGCCTTCGGGTGTATGAATGGGTGAATGTGAGGCAAATGTAAAGCGCTTTGGTGGCCATTAGGTCTATGAAAGCGCTATATAAATGCAGTCCATTTACCATTTAAATTCCAAAACATCTAGTCTAATATATAAATGTAATGAGCTGGGCAGCTTTTACATCCAAATGGTATTTTAAACTAAACAACCCAAACCACATATTTAACTAGAAACTGTTTAAATCATCCAGTTTCAGACTTACTCAAATTATGGGTTAGTAGCTCCTTCCATATTTTATTTTATTTCTTTCTAAGGGATACTCCACTTTTTTTTGGAAATAGACTCATTTTACAACTCCCCCAGAGTTAAACTGTTGAGTTTTACCTTTCTTTAAACCCATTCAGCTGATCTCCGGTTCTGGCAGTAGCACTTTTAGCATAGCTTAGCATACATCATTGAAGTGCACTAGACCATTAGCTTTTCTCAGAAAAAAATTAAAAGTTTGTGTATTCATTGCGCCTGCTGCACTCATGGTACGGCAGTGAAGTTTCCTGATTATTACGCAGGAATGAGAGTATAGTTCCTAGTCATATCAGCCTGGAAAATCGCAATTTTTTATTTTCCGTCTGTCTTACCGCACGATGTAACTACAGAAGAGTTCAGTTTTAAATAGGAAAAATATCGAAACATTTTGGTAATTTTTTGGGGAGAAATGCTAATGGTCTAGTGCACTTCAATAATGTATGCTAAGCTATGCTAAAAGTGCTAATGCCAGAACCGGAGATCGACTGAATGGATTCAAAAAAAGGTAAAACTCAACAGTTTAACTCTGGGGGAGTTGTAAAATGAGCATATTTCCCAAAAAAGTGGAGTATCCCTTTAAAGGAATGCTCAAAGTGGGGGGAAATAAATGCAGGGACTCCCGATCAAACAAATAAAAAGTGCAATTAATACCAAAATGTTGCTGCTAATATAATCATGTGTTGGTCTAGTGTATTTTCGTTTACTGTTGTGAATTGGAAAATCAATAATCGCTAATCGAGAATTGACTGTAATCGAATCGGGACTTCAATCATCGCAATCGAATCGGGAAATCAGACTAGATTAACCACCCCTATAATAGCTCGTGTGTGTTTTTGGCTTATTCTAACCTGAGGCCAGGTGCTGGATGACCAGCCGATGGCAGTGATTCCAGTGGCCGGCCTTGTAGAGGTGCAAGGCTTCACGATGTTTATCTCCCTCTCTGCAGGCACGGATGGCCTTGGCCTGATGGATCCACTTGATGGGGATCAGCAACTTTTCCGTAAGAAATTGCTCCTTCTCCATTGACTCTTCTGTCTCCTCAAGGGGGCAGTGTAAGTTGAGCATCTCCCGCACTGCACTCTCTCTACGTCTGCACACAATTACATCAAATAGGAATCATCTCATCCGACTTCGGTACCGAAAAACTAAGCGCTCCCGGGCAGATTCTTAAACACCTCTGATTGGGTGTTGTGTTAACACATTCAACATGTATGTCTGTGATTGGCTATAATAATCAACACTACAAAAACATGTAGTAAATTGATGTCTTTGACGGTCTTCACCAAGCGCTTAGATACGCACAGGAGCGTTTGAAAGCAGGCGTTTAAGAATCTGTTCAACCGTGCTCGAAATGCTAGAGCGAAATGCTGGTAGTAGGGCTGGGTAATAAATATCGATTTCTCGATATTAAACGATTCTCATTTTTACGAACCGATATCGATTCTTAAATCTCAAGAATCGATTAGTCATCCTGTTTCATTTGAATGAATGGAACATTGTATCGCGGCTGTATAGTAATCTTCTTATTACAAAAATAAATAAGTGTAATTTAAGTGTTTGTATAGCTACAAAACAGTTAATTATTACCTTCATATTAGGCTAATGAGATCTATAGGCTACAACTAGACTCCCATAGTTTACAGCATTAGTTAAGAGATTTGATTTCCTTAAGAAAATGTACCATTTATTGTAACTGATATCCAAAATAAATCAATATTGAATCGAAATTGAATTGTGAAATTTGTGTCAATACCCAGCCCAAGCTTGTAGTGTCAATTTTTAAAAATTCAGTACCAACTTGGTACCGAAGTCGCTACATTTGACGTAAAGTCACTCAACTCATCCTAATATAAAAACCATCACAAACTAAACGAGTACTCCGAATAGAGCCGTCGTTTACCCAGAGTCAGGTATGTGCAGCAGCACGAAGATAGCCATCTCCCAAAATCCCGCACTCTCCAGCTGGGCGGCATAGCTGGTGTGCAGCAAGGCCTGGCATGAGGTGGACAGGTGATTGTAGTTAAGAGCCTGCAGCACGTTCCACAGGTGCCAGCACAGCCGGTAATCCAGATGATCAGCAGTTACGGTGCTGGGATCAAGGAGCTGTTGTAGGCTGTAATGCCTTATGAGGGGGGGAGAGAGCAAAATCAGCCTGGATAGATAGACAGCCTATGGACATCACCAACAAAGACAAAACAGGAATCAAAGAGGACGTGATTACGAACCTGTCACTGTACAGTTTAAGTAGGTGGAAGCAGATGTCATACAGTGGCTTTCTGGATTCAGTCTCTTCCATCTCTTCATCCAAACCCAACAACTCCAGTTCATCTACATAGGGAGGTAAAGGAGGGCAAGCATACCTTTTCACTTCCTCTGAACCCTGAAAAGCATACAAATACAGCATTTATTCACATACTCTTAAAGGTTTAGTTCACCCAAGGGGAAAAAAAATGCCATCATCTACTCACCCTCATGTCGTTCCAAACCCATAAGACTTTGCTCATCTTTGAAACACAAATGAAGATCTTTTCAATGAAATCAGAGATTTTCCACTCTGTTGCCTCAAAAAGTTCATAAAGAGATCGTAAAACGAATCCATACATAATCAAGTGGTTTAGTCTAAATGTTCGCTTTATATTATGAACAGATTGAATTTAAGGCTTTCATTCACAAACACAAGCGAACACGCTTGAGCTTCCGTTTACCACAACTAATGTTCGAGTTGATCAATGTTTTTATGTGAATAAAAGCCTAATAAATCTGCTCATCATAGGTCTATAATGTCTCTTCAAGGGACTAAACCCCTCAATTAGTTTTACGACCTCTTTATGAATTTTTTGAAGCATCAAATTGGTAGTTATGTACCATCAATGGAGGGACAAAAAGCTCTCAGGTTGCAAAAAACTAAATTTATGTTTCAAAGAACGAGTCTTATGGGTTTGGAATGACATGGTGAGTCATTGACGGAATTACATTTTTTGTAATTAGTGGAAATAAATACATTTCTTCAAAAACACTTACTGACATTAAACAAAAAAAAGGGATTTTAAAGTTCAACTTGTTCAAAAGTTTGGGGTTCAGTAAGATTAAAAAATAAAAAAAATGTATTCAGAATGAATCAAAAATCATACAAAAAAAACTTATCTGGTAAGATGACATGCATACATTATGAAGGAAACAAGTTAATGAGTTAAAAACCAGTTAAAATTGCAACTTGGTAACATGGCTAAAGTTAAGAATAAATGTTTCTTGAGCACCAAAGCAGCATATTAAGATATTCAGATAATTTAATTTACAACAAATAAATAAAAAACCTTTTAAAATTGTAATAACATTTCACTGTATTTGTGATCAAATAAATACAGCCTTAGTGATCAGAAGAGAAATATTTTAGGTACCTGAAAGGCAGACTCGTATTTGGCGAGAGCATCCGCTACAGAGGCAGTGGGAGGCAGCATGTACCAGAGATGAACAGCAACACACCGCTTCCAGTCCAGCTCGGAGCACACGTTTATAACACTGTCAGTCGACTGCCACACCTTTATTAAAATAAATGACTTTACTTTTTTGCACTATATCATATATTGCAATAGAAACACTGGAATGTTTGCCAGATGACTTAAATATTAGCTAGAGCATTTGATGAATCACACTAAGCTACATCATGATATCGATTATATAAATCACTAAACCATATCCACCTTATTTTTCAACGCAGAAGTAAGACCATTTCTGAGAAAGTGTGAGACTTCAGATACATTAGCCACTATAGGTAAATAACTACAAGAATAAAGTGCGGTAAAGGGTAAAAAAGTGTCACTGGACACTTTATTTGGTACACCTGTTCAACTGAATAGGAAAGACATGTGATTGTTGGTTGTTGGTGTGTGACGGGCTGGTCTGGGTATTTCAGAAACAGCTGATCAACTGGGATTCTGATACACAACCAGAAAATGAGAAAATTCCCAGTGAGTGGCAGTTCTGTGGCCGAAATTGCCTTGTTGATGCCAGAAGTCAGAGGAGAATGGCCAGACTGGTTCAAGCTGATAGAAAGGCAACAGTAACTCAAATAAGCACTCGTTACAACTGAGGTCTGCAGATGAGCATCTCTGAACACACAACATGTTAAACCTTGAAACTGCATGATGCGTTGTCAATGTGGACCAAAATCTCTGAGGAATGTTTCCAGGACCTGGTTGAATATATGCCACAAAGACTTAAGGCAGTTCCAAAGGCAAAAGGTGGACCAACCTGGTGTACCTAATAAAGTGGCTGCTGTAACATTGTAAAAAACAACAACTGGAAGCCTCACACATTACATGTACAAACTGCTGCGATTTTGTACTACTGTAAATTTACAAACCGCTGTACTGTATAAACATTTACTTACTGGTTTGCCTGCAAGCAAAGCAATGATTCGCAGCCTCTCCTCTTCTATGAAGGAGTCTGTCTGCATCCTGTTCCAGTCGGTGAGCTGCAGAGCCAGTAGATCTCTACAAAACTGAGAGCCCACAGCCTGAGACAACATCAGTGAAAGGCGATGGTCCCCTATAAAGACACACAGCCTTTGTTAGAACCACTAATGACTGCATTGACTGCATTCAGAAAAAAATAGTGTACTCACCACTCTTCTGGGACAGTTTGCAGGCCTTGCTTATGCAGTGACCGGTAAGGTAACTGAAAACAGCCTCAACGTGGTTGCGCTGAAGAGCCCGGCCCACCTCCTCCTCTATACACCCGGCTGCAGTTACAGAGAGCCAGTGCGAGAAGCTCCTCCGCCTCTCGAGCTGCTGCTGGTAGTCCGAGTAGTGCTCAGTCTCCACATCTCGGTCGCCAAGACGACCCCACAGGGCGGCACACAAAGTCCAGATTTGCTGCCAATGGGCCAGGCCAGCTAATGATGAAGATCAAAATTATCAGCATCATTACTGCAGTCTTTCAGAGTCACACGATTCTTCAAAGATCATTCTAATATTAAAAACATTTCTTATTATCAATGTTGGAAACAGTTGTGCCACTTAATAAATTGGTGGAAACCCAATTTTTTTTCAGGACCCTTTGTCGAATATAAAGAATAGAAACAGAACTATATGAAATTGAAATCTTTTAAAACACTAAATGATTTGTCACTTTTGATCAATAAAAACACTTACTGAGCCCATACACACTACCGGTCAAAAGTTTTAGATCGGGCATGGCAATGTTTTTCTTCAAAAATGTTGGATTATATAAAGATTTCTTATTATATATATATATATATATATATATATATATATATATATATATAAATTTTTTTATGTTATGTTCTCTGTCATACTGTACATTTCTTGATGTGTCTGTTGTTCCCCCTTCCCTGTCTTTTATTTTTTTGTAGATGTTTGTTTTATCTTTGTTTCTAAAGACAATAAAGAGTTGATCACAAAAAAAAAAAGTTTTAGATCGGTAAGACTTTTTATGTTTTTAAAAGAGGTCTCTTCTGCTCACCAAGGCTGCAATTATTTGATAAAAAAAAAACAGTAATATTGTGAAATGTTATTACAATTTAAAACAGCGGTTTTCTATGTATAGTGTAATATATAGTGACGTGTAATTTATTCCTGTGATCAAAGCTGAATTTACAGCATCAATACTCCAGTCTTCAGTGTCACATGATCCTACAGAAATTATTATAATATGATGCTCAAGAAACATTTATGATTATTATCCATGTTGAAAACCGTTTTTTACATTTTTATTTTAATAGAAAGTTCAAAAGAACAGAATTGATCTGAAATGGAAAGCTTTTGTAACATTAATCACTACCATTCAAAAGTTTGGGGTCAGTAAGAATTAATTTTTTATTTTTGAAAATACTTTTATTCATCAAGGATGAGTTAAACTGATCAAAAGTTACAGTAAAGACATTTATAATGTTAGAAGAGATTATATTTTAAATAAATGCTGTTCTTTTGAACTTTCTATTCATCGTAGAATTTTTTGGGGAAAAAAAGGTACACGACTGTTTAACATTGAAAATAATAATTGATGTTTTTTGAGCATAAAATCAGCATATTAGAATGATTTCTGAAGGATCATGTGACTGAAAACTGATGTGTAATCAGCAACAGTAATGATGTTGAAAATTCAGCTTTCAAATTACATTTTAAAATATATTAAAATAGAAAACAGTCATTTTAAATTGTCATAATATTTCACAATATTACTGTTTATTTATTTTTTTTCATCAAATAAAGCAGCCTTGGTGAGCAGAAGAGAATTCATTTAAAAACATAAATCTTACTGATCTAAAACTTTTGACTGGATGGATATATATATATATATATATATATATATATACACACATACACAAGACAATACAATATTAAATAAAATTCATACCATCCCCTCCACCTGTCTCTTTGTTGACCTCCACAATCCATTCTGCATAACCATGCAGAGCGTCCACTCCTCTCGCTGGCTGAATGAAAGGACAGGAGTCCTCGGTGTTGATCGTGCTGTGCTTTAGACTGATCTCCAGAGGCCTGTGGTAAAGAGCAAGGCTCTCGGCCGACTGCTTGTGCTCCAGGCCGACCACCTGCTCCATACGCACCTTATACAGACTTTCAGTGATCCTGGTGTGATGCAAATATGGAAAAAATTATTATAAGATACGTTTTATTTGCGAAAACTATGAAGAAGTTAAACTTACTGTTTGCTCTTGGTTGGTTTGGGTAAGAAGCCAAAACTCATGCTCTCTGCTGCCTGATCCTTCATTGTTTCTGTGACACTAAGTTGATCTCCACAGTGCACCAGTGTCCAGTTGGGACCCCAGCCCACTCTGAAAGACCGGCCTCTGAACAGAGCCGCGTCCATCAGTAAACGGCCTTTCCCTAGTGTTACCGAGGCCTCCAGAGGAACTGGCCCACCTAGCCTACGTGCCCCGACGGTCCGAAGCGTAGGTTCTGGAGGAGGGGCCGGCAACAGGAAGGATGGACCCAATGATGGCCATGGGGCTTCAGACACCATTGACTTGCTAAGCTTCTGAGGTATTCCACCAAAAGGAGCCTCTGGGAACTGGGGAAAAAGCCCTCCACCTGAGGTGAACTTTGTTTGTAACAGGGCTCCGACTGCAATGGAAAAGCCGTAATATAAGACATGCACTACGCACAAGTACAGTACCACAGCTGCCAACTTTTGAGTTTAGCTTGGAGTGAGACTTCTCCAACGGATTTGGAGATGACATTCTCCAATTTGGGTGGGGGGAGGGTAACCACATGCTCCCTGCAAACGCAAGGTCTCTCGCTCGCTTTCCCTCTCTGCCGTGCCCTATTCAATCACGAGTGGCTCAACGGGTAGATATATAGACTCATCTTGCAGGCATTTGACTGACCGGGTTGACATTTCAGCATGAGAAATCAGGGGTGTGGCGTGTGAGCAAATGCGGGTGTCTCACGGCCAACGCGTGAGAATTGGCAGCTCGGAAGTACATGAGAAAATACTTTTTCTTTGTTTTTAAAAGAAGCGCTCACCAATTGTGCATTTTTCTGTATAAAATTAACACAGTAAAAACTAATATAGTGAATTTACAACCTTGCCATCACAGGAATATTGTTTTCAAAGGGAAAGTTATTTGTCATGCTGAAAAGTATCATGATTTCTACAAAAATATAAAGGAATACAACCGTTTTCAACATTGATATGAACCATTATTAAAGGGATACTCCACTTTTTTTGTAAATAGGCTCATTTTACCACTCCCCCAGAGATAAACAGTTGGGTTTTACCATTTTCGAATGTATTCAGCCGATTTTTGATATTTAGAAGAATATCAGTATACAGACACTTTCTGGTTTAATTGACTTCTATAGTATATTTTTTCCTACTATGGAAGTCAATGAGACCAGAAACAGTCTGGTTACTAATTTTCTTCTAAATATCAGAAAATTGAGGAGTACCAATAATACGAGATTATAATTGAGCACCAAATTAGAATGATTTCTGATGAATCATTTGAACCAAAAGGATGGGTATAATGGTTGCTAAAAATTCAGCCTTACCATCACAATAATAAATTTCAATTCAAATAAATGCAGCATTGGCGAGCATAAGAGATTTCATTTAAACACATTATTAATTTTTATTTCAGGATTCTTTGATGAATAGAAAGTTCAAAAGAACAGAATTGATCTGAAATGGAAAGCTTTTGTAACATTAAACACTAACATTCAAAAGTTTGGGGTCAGTAAGAATTTATTTTTGAAAATACTTTTATTCATCAATGATGAGTTAAATTGATCAGAAGTTACAGTAAAGACATTTATAATGATAGAAAAGATTATATTTTAAATAAATGCTGTTCTTTTGAACTTTCTATTCATCATAGAATTTTTTGGGGAAAAATGGTACACGACTGTTTTCAACATTGAAAATAATAATTTATGTTTTTTGAGCATAAAATCAGCCTATTAGAATGATTTCTGAAGGATTATGTGACAATAAAAATTGATGTGTAATCAGCAACAGTAATGATGTTAAAAATTCAGCTTACAAATTACATTTTAAAATATATTAAAATAGAAAACCATCATTTTAAATTGTCATAATATTTCACAGTATTACTGTATCTTTTTTTTATAAAAAAATTTCACAATAATATTCGCAATAATAAATTTAACTTTTAAAATATAATTTTTTTAATCAAATAAATGCAGCATTGGCGAGCATAAGAGATTTCATTTAAACACATTATTAACTCTGAATTATTCCAAAACCTTTGACCGGTAATGTATGTAAACTGCATTTAATGAATAAGTGGCATACTTGATGGCCGACCAGGTCCAGAAAGCAAAACTTTGGGGGAAGCCACATCCATTATGAGCTTTGAAGAACCATGCTCTTGAAACAAGTCGCATTCATCGTCCTCTGCAAAGAGACAGGCCTTCATAATCTGCGTGGAACACAAATCATCAAATCAACGTTACTAAAATATCAGAACGCGACGCATTTACAATCAACGACTCAATTACGTGCACGCTACCTGTAAGGTATGAGGGTTGATGCCCATTGAGGAAGCGATCTGGCTGGATGAGGACACGGGCTCATGCTCGACAGGAGTCTCAGATCTCAGCTTGTTCTCCTCCAAAGACGTTCTCTCTCCATCCTCCTCACCCAAAACACTGTCCGCGGGGTGCTCTTGGGTAATGTCGGCCATGTCACTGTCCAACTCCGACACGCGGCTGAGCAGCTCAAGTACTCCAGTACTCTACACATACACACACAAAGAGATCAATCAAGTCTTTGTTCTTGATCCGAGTGCAGAGTACAGTTCTGCATCATCATTAAACTAATTTTTACCAAATGCTTTGGCAGGCATCGAGGATCTAGTTGCTGCCAAATCAAAACATTGCATTATGTACCCATTAAATGTCCTGACACAAACATTGTCATCTTTATTGAACTTTTATTTGTCAATGAAATACATGACAAAATCAAACATCCACACACTTTCTATCATCATACATTTTATGTTTCACTGCTATACTTCAAAATAAAACATTCTGAAAGCCCACAGGCTCATATCTGTAGAATATCTCAGATCAGACACACTTGCATGTAATGTTACTCAAATAACCTGCTAATGCTAATACATCTGGTCAAGCAAATTCTTTGCCTGTGTTCTACAAATATACTTTATATTTCGGCAATGATAAAAGAAACCAAGCATAATTAAATACACTAATAATGACGATGATCTTATTCCACTTTAAACATTCAGAATCACCCTTTTTTATTGTGTTGGATAGTAAAAGTTTCATTTACACAAAAGTGTAACAAATAATATTCTTTTGTCTAGTCTTTACACTCAAAGCACCTTTTAATTTCAACTGCTCAGGGGAACAGTCAGCTTTACAAACTATAAATATTATATAAAAGGCAACTCCCTTTGTAAACTTAAAATATAAAATATGTGCACAGCATTTCAAAAACTTCCGATCTCTTTGCACATCACAGCTGAAAAGCATTTGAACCTCTAAAAGCCCGCTGCTAGTGTAGATCTGGACTGTGGGGGGGCACAGCAGGTATGAGTGAACTTGAGTGGCCCCCGGAGACCAATGTGTGTCAGACTCAGTCTACCTGAGCCTGTGGCGCCATCTGCTGCTGGTTCAGTGGAAGCTGTGCGATCCCAAGGGGGCCCCCGGTCTTCAGCTTCTTCAGGTCCAGCTTGGTCGGGGGGGCTTCCTCTTCTTCATCAGAGTCCTGCAGGCCGTACTTTGAGAAGTGGGCCACCTGTAAAAGGAGATTTCAGTAACATACTCACAATATCTTAATCATGACAACAGATAACTCCAAGTCAGAAAAGAGGAGCACGTGGTGTAGGCGCTCATACCTCAAAGACCCAGGATCCAGTTTCGGGTCGGTACTCCAAGAAGCGTGCGCCTTGTTTGCGCGAGGCTGCCTCGAGTCGGCCCTCGTAGTTCATCTCATTCAGCCTCTCTACACTCTTGATCTGACAGCACGTTGTCTTGTCATTGGGCCACACACCATCTAGAGTCACTTCAGCACGTCTGCATGCAACACAAAACAATGTTATTTTGAACTAATAAGGAGAAGTGGTGTTTCTAAGTGGTTGAGGAGGATGCAAAACCCATCCAGAGTCAAAAAAAAATGTGATTTATATCTTTTTATTTTATTCAATATATTCCTATATTGTAATAGTCACATTGACTCCCCAAAATATTGCAGAAAAAGATATCAATTTTAACATTTAGTTGGCTTTAAAAATAACAACTTTTAATTTAAAGGGATACTCCACCCAAAAATGAAAATTCTGTCATCATTTACTTGGAGTATCCCTTTAAGAGAACTTAAAACTATGTTCACATAAACCAACTGTAATAAATGTCACATTTAGCTGTGCCTTTAATATATCAGGGCTCAACCCCAAGGTTTTTGGGGGTTGAGCCAACTGGCACACACAGATTTAGATTTTTGCCAGCCCTGCTAAAATGCACAACAAAAAGTGTTTTAGTTGTTAACAATGCTTTAAGGTTACTGTGGTACCTACAGAAACTGAATAATCAAACACTGCATAAATTTAATATAGATTGGTCCATATTTAAGCTACAAAAGTTATTCAGTCAACATTCAGTCATTAACATCAATAACAGGCAGCAACAGGTTTATTATGCTGCTGTCACTTTAAGACATGAAATGGATCCGACACCTATTTTTTTAGACATCTCTATACACTCTTTTTATTCATTCTCTTTACGTTCTTCTTGAAAGAGAACCTCAACACGGTACAGGCACAATCTTTGGGTCTTAAGCACACCAATACAGATTTGAGCTCTTTTTTGTTTCTTATCGTGCATTAATCGTTTAATAGCATTTGAATGAAAGATAGTGTAATCATATACTGTACAGCATCCAAAGGACAACAGAAAAAAAAGATGATTCGTTAAATATATTCAATATTTGTAATGTGTTAAACTGAGAAAAACAATACATTGCAAATTTAATATGTTAATTTTAACAGCCCTAAAGTAATTGACTTGTTGGCTTGTATAAAAAACATTTTTTTTTTTAAATCTAATTGGCATGAATACACTGTTTCTATGAATACTGAGAACCTGTAAAATGGGCTACGTTACGCTTTTACTTTGAAACATGCAGCGCAAATACTGATTTAATGAAATCATAGCCTTTTGAAGTTTAATAATCACAGTAGGCTGTATCTTGATTTCTGTTTAGGACCAATTAAATAGATCGGCATTTGTTTGACCATTTAAGATTTTTTATGACCTTAGATTTAAAAAAAAAAAAAAAAAAAAAATTAATTTCAAGGAATTGCTTGGAGCCCTTGAAGTCACACACATGCAGCACTCTTCAAAACACATTTACAGTTTGAATATCTATTTTAAGAAGTGTAAATGGATGGAGAAGCATAGTTTACTGTAAAGCTACATCTTAGTTTGTACTTATTTTGGCAAAAGCAGCATGAAGGTTAACATCAACTCTCGTGTATTGGAAATTTTAAAATCACAAATGCAAGTGAAACACCTGCCAACTTGAATCCCGAGATTACCTGTTTAGTCCCTCTCCAACAGGAGGCTTGTCTTTGTCATCAGGGTACACGATTATCTCCTTACGCCGGAAGTACACAATCTCATCCAGGTTCATGTTGGTAAGATTCACCTCACCAGGGAAGAAAACGGACCCATAGCCTGTAAAACCACCACAACAAAACATTAAGTCACGCTCCACTGGTGGGCTACTAGGAATCGCATTTGTTCTTTTGCATGATGACGCTTCAAGCAATGGTTTTACCCTTTCTGCCAACAGTGAAGTTCTCCAAAATACACTCCCCGTTTTCATTCAACATCTTTCCCAGCTCTTCCATGGATGGGATGGTGTAGTAGCCTACACGGCAAAGAACTATCCCTGAAAGAGGTCAGAATAAGATAGATTAGAATAAGATTTCTAACACATCAAACACATTGTATATTTTAACCCTCTAGGCGCCACGGTCGAGTTTACTCGACAAGATGCGTCCCTGAATAAAACGGCCGATTTTGTCAAATTGGGTGTCAAATTTCGATCCACATCCCCTCCACTGGATGGCAGACATGTCACACTTCATCCCTAACACAAAAAAACATCATGTTTCTATACAAAATGTTCGCGTTACAGCGCATTGAATCAGTGTAATCAAAAGCGTGTGAGTGAGCCATTTCATCAGAGCCTCTCCGCGATCGCGGCGAAAGTATTGTGGTGGAGACTTTGTTTATTATCACTGGGTATGTTAGACGAGGTCGAAGTATTCATAGTACAGATAGGGGGTAACGTGAAGGAGTCGCAATAGTATGTATTCTTGGCGCTGGCCGCGATCGCGCTGCTCGTATCATCACTTATGATCTGCGCTTTGCCCTAACGAGTGACCTTTTGAACTAAACAGGTCTTGTCTACTTGTGTTTGTGTGTCATATGAATAATATAAGCCCCATACATGGAATCAGAGTGCCTACTGTATGTAGTAAATGGAAAATCTCCACAGCAAAAGGCCAACCACTACATGCATACGGTTTGTTTTACCATTTATTAGTAATGATTTACACAGTTTGTTTATTACTTACTATATACCTGAGCATTCAGTATCGTGCAATATAGCATACAGAAGGTGATGGACATTTTGGGGGGAAAGAAGTGCCGCATTTTATCATTTAAACATGCGACTTTTCATGAAAATTATATAATCCAAGATTTCTGCCACCATATGATGTCATAATATGCAAATTAGATGGGGGAAAATTAAATCCCTACATAAACTTTGGGTTAGTGTTGTCACGGTACCAAAATTTCAGTATTCTGTACCAATACCAGTTAAAATTCACGGTTCTCGGTACCAATTTCGGTACCAAAGCTTAGTTTAAATGTACATATATTTAAGTGTTTATCACGGTTACAAGTATGGAAACTGTACATTTGTATTATAAACACTTTAGAAAAAGATTAGATAAAATGACCTAAAATAAACAATAGTATACACTAACACATTTTTAAAGTTGTTTGTAAAGTCTTAATCCATGATTTATTTAATGCACAATGAATTAAGTGAACAAACATGAACAATCAGGTGTTTGTAATAAATAACATTTTCAAACATTAATTAATGTTGTAAAAATATATTGTTCACTCAATGTGTTGATAACCAAGTAATGTTTATGAATGGTATCTTTGTAGCATTACCTGCATTCATATTTAATTATAAAAAGGCTTTTTAAACCTGCCGAGTTATAAAGGCAAGAATACGCCTAGAACTGGCACTGACATTAAATGACAATACTAATACCAGTAGTACTCTGGTGTCGGGTGGATACTACTGTGCTCATGTACTCGTAAAACTACCCCGAAAGCACTTTAGAGGCCGTTCACATGTCGCGCGTGTTTTTTAATTATATTTTTGCGCGTGCTTATTCTTTCCAAAGCGCTTGCTCTCACGCGGCGTCTGTCGTTGCTATGCAACGAGTTTTTATTAGGAGCGCGCTTGAAACGCGCCTATATTTGAAATTGCGAATTTGCATATAATCGGCCTCTTATGGCAACGTGACATTAGCCTAATCCAAAATATTTCCATATGTGGCTCTTTCCTCCTTTCGTTTCAACAAGTGGATTCAGAGAGAGAGAGAGCCATATCAGCGTTATGAAGAGGACGCAACTGTGCACGTTTCAGACATCGCGTCTAGAACAGAACTGGATTAACCTGGTACTCGGTACCTAGAAAAGCTGGTACCGTAACATTTTTTTTTTTTTAGTACCGACTTGGTACCGAAGTACCGAGTTTTTTGACAACACTACTTTGGGTCATCCTTAATATTTCTCTAATTTACAGAAAGTATCTATCTTGTTTCACTTTTAAGATATATTCTTTAGAAATTAAGATGTTTTTGGAACGCCTAAAGGGTTAAGGAACATCAACGGAGACAAGCGTACCAGCTGGGTGAGGAGGTTTCTGAGCCTCCAGCTCCTCATCTCTTTCCTCCTGAATGGAATCCTCAGCCAGAGAGATCTCCTCACTGCTGGCCTCCAAGCCATTGCGATGACTGGCAGTTCCCCGCATGTTGAACTCCGAGATGGTGTCCTGTAGCAAGGGGCTTGGCTGGCCGTGTGGAATGGGTTTGGTGATCGGGTTGGTGTAGAACTTGGAAACCTCTAGATCATCCTCCCTACTTCTCTCCATAGTGCCTTCTCTAGTCTCGCCATCATCCATACTCAGACTGAAAAGTGTGACAGGAAAACGTTCAATATGTGGTCAGTTAATGACTGCAAAATATTACTTCACATCAAAACGGTTGAGAACTAGTGACCACATACCTGAGTCCATTCTGTGGGTACTCTGAAGGGGAAGCTAAATCATCAACCTCTCTGTTCACAGAGTTGTTGTACAGACTGCTGTTATTCAGGTTCTTCAACACAAGTTTCTTTATACTCTTCCTAAAATGCAGACAGGACCACTTTATTAGTGCACTGCATCTTGTGACCTAAATGTAGCTTTAGTTATGACATCAGGCTCTTACCTAGGCATGAAGGCTCCGTTGTTAAGAGAGGGTTCATCATCATCAAGCCCATCGAAGAGCTGAGATTTGGAGGAGCCAGAGGAGGAAAGAGCTTTGGGACGCACACGGGTGGCAGGACGAGGGGTCAGTTTGTATTGAGTGGGGGTAGTCAGGGCTTTCTGGGCAGCTGGATTTGTGGGCTTGAGACGCTAGTGAAAGAGAAGATATATTAGCAATGGTTAAAAACCAGTGGTCTCTGGTGTTTTATTCAATTGGTGAGTGGCTCAATAAAATTAGGGCTGCATGATTAATCGAAAGAAAACTAAAATTGCGAGTGAGCATTCTTTTCCCATGGTTCACAGTAAATGCTGCTCCACACAAACTCCATCTCTACATATGCTTTGAGTTTGGCTCGCTTTAACATGCAATTGACCCTTCGCAGGGAGTTTGATTGACAGGCGATCTGACCAATCAATCTGCCATCTGCCATTTTTGTACGACAAAGCAGTGAGGAAAGTTAGTAGATTAACACTGGAGGATTTGAACTTGAAAACGGAGTGCAATGACACCTTTCCGTGGTTAAAACAACATTGCTTCATGTTTATTTGACGCTATACAATTAACTAGAAGGAAGAGATGATCGGTTCACGAGCAGCTTTAACTGAGGCTCTACAGCGATCTGTCAGACACATTAAAGAGCCACAAAATAGTATTTATTGTTTAAATTTATTTTTAAAAATAGTAGAGACTTTGTTTCATATCAAAAGCAACCTGGTCTGTCCTGTCTGTCAGCGTCCTCTTTGCTCCGTGATGTGTTTTGGCGTGATAACATGGTGTGGCGTGAGAGCGGCGTGGCTTGTCAGACAAAGCAACAGTAACTAAAGGGGGCGGGTCTTTGCGAACGGTCAATTGGGAATGCAACATGCGCCAACCATCTTCCCAAACTTGTAATGTGAAGTGCTTATCAACAAAAGATAAGTTAAGGGCTGCCTGTTGATGTTTAGTCAAAACATGTATTTAAAAGACATCCATAAATATAGCAATGTCATTTAAGTTAGAAATCAAAATATAACTATATTCTTTCATAAACAATATTTTTCAGTATTTTTTATTTTAATTTAGCAATAAGAAAAAATTTATGTTTTTAATTTTTAGGCATATTGATGTATAAATCACAAATTCTGGACAAAGTGTGCAGCCCTACAAAAAACAATATCAAATGGATTTATTTCTTTTTTAAATCACACCTTCAAATCAAAATCACAATTAGACTATTTTAACAAAATTTTCCAGCCCTACAAAAAAAAGACATGCAAGGACCATCTAAACTGTAAAACTCAAACCTCTTCCTTCTTTTTGGGGTCCGACAGTGGGTTTCTGAAGAGGGGTGAGTCTCCAAAAGGAGAGTAGGCCAATGCATTGATCTGCTGCTGGAGGACGGCCTGCTGAGCGGCTGCTGCACTCGGGTCAGTCAGAGCTGTGAACAAAACCAGTTATTTATTTTACAGAACCTCACCTATCATTACTTAACCTATCAACATGACTTAAACCAGTTTTGAGAATGAAATCATTTATGAAGCATTTGCACTGACCCACAGGCTGTTGAGTAGCACCAAAATTCAGAGTGTTGGCTCCGGTGTTGAAGCCTCCAGTCCCGAAGGTGCCCATTGACCCCAAGGTGGAGCCCAGCTTGTTCTGGTTGTTCCCAAACAATGACGTCTGGCCAGTCCCTACAGCTGAAAATACAGATAAATACTCACTCATGGTAACAAAATGACATTTAAAGAAAAGAAAAATAGCACCCTAAAACATACCTCCTCCGAAACCAGTTCCCAATCCTGTTCCCAGTCCTGTTGCAGCAGTTTTGTTCCCAAAAAGACCCCCACCAGCACCAGTTGCACCGAATCCTTCAAAAAAAAAATAGCATTTTAATTTCTAGATCAAATCTAGGAGTGAACAGGTTGTGAAAGTGATGGGCATCATTTCAACCAGAGATGACAAAGTTGTTTGATGTTAACGCTGAAATCAAATTTTATTATTAAGACTCACCAAAGGTTGAGGTGTTCGTGTTTGCCCCTAGAGTGAGTGTAGGCTTATTTGCAAACAGACCGGTGCCTGTACCAAAGGAGGGTGTGCTAGTGGTGGTGGTGCCAAATCCTGCAGGCTTATTACCAAAAAGATTCTGTGAAACAAAAAACACAAGTTAGCCATTATGAAAAAACGCAAAAGAATCTGACAAACAAACAAAAACAGCTAAGTTGAAGCCTCTCCAGAAATCACCTGTGTACCCACATTTCCAAATCCGGTGTTAGTTTGACCAAAGATTCCTGTGCCAAAGCCTGCGGCAGTACTCGTGTTAGTGTTTCCAAAAAGTCCTCCGGCCTGAGAGGCAGCCGTGTTGCCAAACAGCCCCTGCTTAGAAATGAAACCAACACAGAATTAACCTGATTTTAGACTAATAAGATGAGTGACGACTGCATATATTTAGTCCGTCTGCTGGCACTCACCATGGTGCTGGTGTTGGGCTGGCCCATGGTATTGGTGTTGCCGAAGGAGAAAGTGTTGTTTTGGGTGGTGGTGGCTGATCCAAATGGTTTGAAGAGACTGGAAGCTTGCTGCTGTTGCTGCTGCTGCTGTTGTTGTTGCTGCTGTTGATGCTGCTGCGGCTGACCAAACAAACTTCCTGTGGTTGTCCCAAATGCCCCGGTGCCTGGAGTGCAAGAAGTTAACACACATTCAAACAAAAAAAAAAAACCTCAACCAAACCAATTCTTAAGGTACCACCACTTACTCGTGCCGAATGAAGTCTTGTTCTGGCCGAAGTTGAAGCCAGTGTTTGGAGCGGAGGAGCCAAAGAGTCCAGTGCCGGTACTGGGAGTAGCTGCGGCTGTCGGTCCAAAGAGACCACCTGTACCAGCTGCCATAGGGTTGGAAGGACCCTTCCTACCAGCCTGGTAATCCTCAAACCTCAATTCCTAAGGTATAAGAAAGGTATAGATATTTTATCATGCTCCGAATCCTCAAAACTCTAGACAACAGGTTTGTTACACATTGTTGTGTTTTCCACAGACAATTTCTTTTCAAAGCACCAGACAAATTTCTCGCCACTTATTTAAACTACGACAAAGAGAGAACCCATCCTACCTCTAAGGATTTGTTCTCATATTCCTTCATTGCAGTGATGCACTGGTGTTTGGTGTTAATGCTGGTTGTCACACCACCTTTTACCATTGTGTCACTACCAGTTGGTGGCTGTAAAAAAACCAAAACAAAATAAAAAAAATAAAAAAACAAGAGATTTTGGTAAAAATAACCTTGTATATATATATATAAAAAAAAAAAAACAGGTAGTTTAAAAGTGCATCCATGAGAAAAAACAAAATAAATATAAAAAGAGTAATCATGTCTAAACGAACATTGAATTTGATTGTTGTGCCAGGGGGTGCAGCAGTGAAACTTGACGCCCCAAACAAAGAGCCTGACGTTCCTCCAAATGGGTTGGATGCTGTGTTGGTTGTCCCGAACAATCCACCGCTACTGGTGCTGGTACCAAAAGCTGCAAAGCAATTCAAACAGTTATTTAGAGTGTTGTTTCCAAGCTAATCTTTTAATAAAAAAAAAAAAAAATCATCTTCTACACAGATATTCAGCAGGAAACTTACTGCCAAACGAGGCTGGTTTGTTGGCACCGAAGGCATTATTCTGCTGGGAAAACAGTCCTGCACTTCCGGTGTTGGTGTTTCCAAAAAGGCTGTTTGACGTGCCACTAGGAGCACCAAACCCGAAGCCACTACTGGTGGAGGAGGTGACGGGCTGACTGAAAGTGCTTGAGCCAAAGAGACCACCTTGAGGACAAACACAAAGATTTCAAGACAAATGACACTCTCTCATAAGTCTGCTGTGAGTCAAGTTGTGACTCGCTGAGAAAATTCACTTCTGAGATGACTCACTCAACAGCAAACATTATTTTGTTCCATTACAGCTCAAGTCACCATTCATATTTAGCAAAAGACTAACATTTAAAGTATAGTATTCTCGTCGTCTTAAAAAGTGTTTAAATCAGAGGGAACTGGTTTTGTAACACCACTGCGTGCGTTCATGCATCCACACCAAATAAATCAACGCATAAATCTTAGATAAGTTTCAAATACAAGCGTATCCATCAATAAAAAGCTATTTATATTTAAAAATAAATAAATAAATCACTGCATCAACTCAATTAAATCTTAAAGTGATTAATTCTTTGAGTATTTAAAGATTCTGCATTACCTGGCTTGTTCTGGGTGGCCCCGAACAGTCCTCCTCCTGTGGTGTTTGCCGCCCCAAACGCTGAAGATCCAAAGCCTCCTGTTGCTCCAAAGCCAGCATCTGATGACAAAAGTGGCAAAAATAAAAATATCGTACTTTGTCTCTGTACCGTTATTATTGATTTCTCGTAACATGATATAATTCAGCACACATATTAACTTACTTTGTTGCCCAAATGTAGAAGAAGTCCCAAATCCTCCTGTCCCTCCCCCAAAGGGAGCACCAAAAGATTTGTTGAACATCTTGCACTGCTATAGAGCCTGCATATGTCTACCAAAAAGAGAAGTGCTTTCAGGTCTAGAATAGCAAAACACACTTCAGCTGGTTTACATTTACATCAATCCATTCAAAATAGCAAAATGGTTATAATATGCGTCACAACATTCTTTTGTTTACTACAATGCTGAGTGTAGCAATAAATATTTCTGACAGGTGTATCTGCTATGGATAACTGCTGGGAATGATTGCCTGATTGTCTTATAAAAACTTAAGAAGTGACTAACGCATGAAGTATGAAGGAAATTTTTACTTAATTTCCCATTTAGGCTGTTTTTGTTGAAAAAAATAATGTTACATATCAATTATGATACATTGGGCTTTTTAAATAATGTTTATTTGTATGTCTCTCAATCATTATTATTGCATTGATATATGTTTTGCTATACAAACAACAACGGCAAATTCCATATTTTTCATGTCTTCATATTTACTACATATTCTCACTATTTGACACTATATAAGCAGGCCTGATGTATCAAATATGACACAAAACATAAAACAATATACTTTTTAATATAAACTGTTCTATTTTTAAAGTTTTTTTAAAAGTTATTAGTCTCCCAACTTATTCTATATATATATATATATATATATATATATATATATATATATATATAGGGCTGTCAAATGATTAATCGCATCCAAAGTTTGTGTTTACATAATATGTGCACTGTGTAAAATTATTATATATGTACAAAATCACACACATGCTTGTATAGATTTTAGAAATATTTTCATGTATATAGATATACAATTTATATTATATATAAATATTAATGTTTTATATATAAATAATATTTTTTAATTTAGCAGCATTTGTATATATTTTTCTACAAATCAACCACAAAGACTAACTGGACATGGCAAGTATTTAAATGAATACTGCCTTTGCATAATTCACATTTACATACTGTGGAAACATCCATACAGAAACAATTGAGCTTTCATGAGAAATGTGAACGCACAAACATACATTTCAAAACAGGTACACATATGTGTTCTGAAAAGACAGTTGACATGTTTTTATTTTCAATTCAAGACAACAAATAGCGACCATAGCATGTCAAAATTCAAAATGTGGCATTAATTGGTAACAAGGGATCCGAAAATTATATCGTAATATTTTAAATGTGTTTATGACTTTTTGTTTAACAATTTCTGACAAGACAAAAATCAAATTCCACTTTAAACATCTTAAACATTAGGGATACATTTATGTTTATGTATATAAAATGCTGACAGCAATATAAATAAATTAACAATGTATTATTCAAGACCTTTGTTTACATTGTTTTCATAATACACCATAAACTCCAATAGTATTTAATATTTAGTAGATTAACTAATTTGTTAATTTCGTTCACGTGAGATTTAACGCCTCACAGCAAAGTTGGGCGCCAGAAATGTAATGTGCAAGTGAATTTACGGCCTGTGAGAATTGTTATTAGATTTCCTTTATTGTTTTAAGATTGCCATATGACTGCACCTCGACAACACACACATTACATAAATATTTTGGTTGTGCCGGATTAAACCTGACCGAACCAGTCTGTACAAACAAGTGCGGACTAACGCAGCTAGGAAAAAGAAAGGTAGCCGTCATGTGCTAACATGAAAGTTTTTATTTTAAATACATTTATTTAAAGCGTCAACGAGTTGCTATCAATCGATTTAATATATAATATCTGTCAAAAATCTTCCGATTTATTTAATCCCCCATACAGATACACAAATGCCAAACGTAAAGTTTCTACTTTCAAATTCACATGGCTCGCTAGAAATGCTAACTTGCTAGCAATCGGGTTTGAAACGCAATTGATCTAACAAGCGGATATGATCAGTCTTACCGTTTATTATCCGGTGATTCCTTAACCAAACGTCCAATAAAGAGTTTCTCGCTCGAAAGGCTGGGTATTTGTGGCAAACGTGAATCCGGTGTTGTCAGTTTAGGACATCAACTTGCTGACTTTCTGTTTCTGCTCAGTGTTGATGGAGGGAAACAACGTAGCTAGCTAACAGATAGCAATCGGCGTCATATTTAGACCTCATACGTCATCACGCATCACGTGTTCATTCTTCGTCTTCTTCTTCTTTGAGCTTTTTGGCGGTTCGCATTCTTAAAAAGAGCATTACCGCCATCTACTGTAGGAATAGATCAACGACTCGTGCTTTCAATGTTGCTGCTTGTTCAGCTCCTCCATTTACAGCCAAAGTCCATCATCTTCCAAAGGATACTGATACTAATAATACTAATAGCCTATCTATATTCTAAAGATCAAATTTGTTCTACCTAAAAACTTTATTATTAACCTACTCCCCTCTACTGAGTTAAAAACATCTTTAACGTTAATTGTTGATTATCTTTCGTCTCAAATTCTTCAAACATTTTACTTCTTTCCTCAGAATATTTATTACACTTAATAAGTACATGCTCCACTGTTTCTCTGATTCCACACCATTCACATAATCCTGTAGGATGTTTTCCTTCCAATTATTTGCATTGTTGAATTAACCCTTGTGCTGCATTAGATTTTTAACACCGTTGAGTGCATTAAGGACCAAAAATGGCCACATATTAAACATTGCCTAAAATATTATATATTATTATTATTTTCCACTTTTACCAAGTTAAATCTTTTAACCAGCATCAGTCCTCATCATAACTACCAAAAATGTATTCAATTTCAGGATTTTAACCCTTTAATTACCAGTTTTGTTTGCGAAACCATCGATTTGTATAAGAGGAAAAAACACAAAAATTCTATTATTTTCAATAAACTAAATGCAAAGAGAAAACTTTAGATTTGGATTATCACAGTCCCACTTTGCAAAAAATCCCACTTAGCGCGTTAGAGACCAAAAATGGCCACCTATTAAACATTGCCTATTGCCTAAAATAAGGTGCATTTCCACCCATAGGGAATAAATATGTAGTGACGTCATCTGGTGGAATACACTATATAATGCAAATATAATGCTTTTGCTTCAAAATGAAAGGATGTTTGTGCAAAAATCATGTTTCATGTATTACTGACAGCCTCAGATTTAAACAACGTTTTAATGGGTTTCAATGGGCCATTTTTGGTCTTTATGGTGCTGAGTGTTACTATTTGATCTACACAGTGTGTGTTATACATATTTTGCAAAATGGGATCACATTTTTTACATGTATCCAAAAAGTCACAATTTTGCCAAATTTCATACCATTTGCATTAAAACAGCCAAAATGGTCAAAGAAATTAAACTGCAAAAGACCAAAAATGTCCCTAATGCAGCATAAGGGTTAAGTCCTGTATGTCCCAGTCTTAATCTAGAAATAATACAGTCTTCCTTCCTTCTCCCAATTGAATTCCTTCCTCTACCTACCAATGGTTGTATTAAATGTAAATGTCTACCTTTTTCCTCATTATCCCAATTATTGACAATTTTTATTTATCTCCCTTTTAATTATTGATTTCATTTTTAATTTACTATATACCCAATTTGAATATCTATAGTTTCCTTTGCCACAGTGTTTTGCTAGTTTATCTGCTGCTTCATTTCCAGACACTCCAGTATGTGCCGGAACCCATAAAAACTGAACTATCTTATTTTTTTTTTGCATCATGGAAAATATCTGTAATATTTCCAACACAATATCCTGTCTAGTATCTGATTTTTGAGCTTCTGAACCTGAATCTGAGCATATTTCACGAGTTCATTTCCTTCGCTTCGGCTTTTTCTTCTTGAATAATAAATGCAAAAGTGGATGTTTTATAGAAATGTTCATTTGTTGTTGGTTTGCGTAGAAACCAAGGAAATACATAAATACAATTTAACAAAAGGGGGTTATCATAAAAAATACCTTCAGAAGATTACATATATGGTTCTTTTGCACAAATCTTAAAGATTTGAAGAAGATTATTAAATCTTCATGGAAAAGTAAGAATGTGGAAGGGTTCTTAAAGAATCTGCATGAAGTAGGCTAACGGCCAACATCACAATATTGTTATTAACCAAATAATTCACAGAGACAAATATTTTATAGATTTAAAATAAAAGTCTAATTGATATTTAAAACTTAACTAAACATATTGCATAATTTTGAGAATTTGCATAAATAAAATAAATGTTCCAATGATTCTGTCTGATTCACAAAAGGTGCACTCATTAAAATATGGAATACACAGCGGGGTTAATTCTAACAGAGTGTTACAACTAAGCCACCAAGTGTACAACGATAATCAAGCGAAAACGGAGCCACACAACTTTTCAGGTTTGAGTATACATTTAATTTCTTTGGACGTTCACAAACAATGTTGGAATTTAAAATGTTTAAAATTTAGTGTACTATGAATGATAACTTGTTTATTTATTAAAAAATATGGCCTGTTTTTAATGCAATAAACCCTTTACATTTTTTTTTATTTTAAGCTCATTGTATTATTATGACTGTTATTATTATTAATAATAATAATTGTACATGCAGCTGCCACACACAAATTTAATTTAATTGCAATTACAATATATTATCATTTTATTAATTATTATTTATTGCAAAACTGTGCAGCCCTTTTCTATGTCTCTATCCATGATATTGATCCACAACAGAAGGATGATTGGATGAGAGATGGATGTATGGATATCTGTCTATACAGATGCACAAACAATATCAAACTATTCAAAATAAAATTGTACTGAATTATGTGTGTTACACACAAGTGTTACAACTAACCCCTCTGTCTGTTACAATTAACCCCGCATATGGGGTAAGTTGTAACATTTGCACTTCTGTCACTTTCAGTCCAACTGTACGAAAATGGTAGGTCCTAGAAAAAAAACTTTAAGTTTAGCAGCTGCCAATCTTATGATACCACCTGCTTCTCTCACTCAGCGAGTGTAGGATCTATTCCAAGTAAAATCCACCTGCTCTTCTTCAAATGTGAATCTGTCCGAGGGAGTTGAGATCTGCCGTCTTCGTGAACCTAAGATGGGCCTTTCTTTGCGAAGCAAGGTTGACCTCCTCCTTCTGGACAGCACAGCACTGGCGCTATGCCTCAGGCCCTGGCCGCCACGGTGTGCAACATCATCCTTGAACCCTTTCTTCTCCTCTACCCCCAAGAAATCGGCAACTACCCTAAAGTATTCCAACACCACGGAATGACTCCAGGAAGTAGTACCTCCATGTCCATCCTCATGAAGAAAGCCACAGTGGCCTCCCTGTCCTGTTATGGCCAGCAGAAAGTAAGGGCTATTATGAAAAAGTGCCTTGGGTACAGTGGAGAGAGGTGGAAGTAAAGGATCATCTCGGCTACACAAACAGAGCACTGGTACTGCCACTTCGTCTGCATCTCGCAAAGGTTCATTCCTCTCCCAATAACTTGCCCAATCAGGCTTTGTTGGTGATCTTGAACGGTCCTTTCCAACTAGGTCTATTGAGTCTGCACAGAACATGAGCTCTTCTATATCTTGCAAAGAGCTGGAGTGTAGAATTTTTGCCACATCCATCACAGCGCTCAAAGCAGTGGCGTACCTGTGGAAGGGGTCAAATGTTTCAATTCAAACAGTTTGTAATCCTTGTTGCCTTTTAATATGGCGGGTTTGCACTGTGACATCTTACAACACCCTAACTTAGCTTGCAGATTTTGTACTTTTCAATTCAGTTGAAGAGACAGGTGTAGGTGACTGTCGTAAGTTGAAAATCGGAGCTAAAATGATGTACTGTAGTGTGTGGGCAGCATAAGATAAAATGGATTGGATTGATGTTGTAGGCCAACCAAGGGTGTCCAATCCTGGTCCTGGCGATCTACCCACCTGCAAAGTTCAGATCCAACCCTGATCAAACACACCTGTCTGTAATAATCAAGTGCTCAGATCTTATTTATCTGGTTCAGTTGTTTGATCAGGGCTGGAGCTGAATTTTGCAGGAAGGTAGATCTCCAGGAACAGGATTGGGCACCATCAAAAATGTCCATAAACCACCATAAAAGTAGTCCATATGATTTGTGTGCCAAGTTGTGGCAAGATCATTATTAAAGGGATAGTTCACCCAAAAATGAAAAATACCTCATGATTAACTCACCCTCAAGCCATCTAAGGTTTATATGACTTTCTTCATTCAGACGAATGCAATCGGAGATCTTTAAAAAAAATGTCCAGGCTCTTCCTAGCTTTAGAATGGCAGTGAATGGGGGAAAAAAAATTTGAAGGCCAAAAAAGTACATTCTTACATCATAAAAATGCTCCACATGGCTCCAGGGGTTAATAAAGGCCTTCTAAAGTGAAGCGATGCATTTGTGTAAGAAAAATATCCACATTTAAACTTTATAAACTAAAATAACTAGCTTCCGACAAACAGCCGTACGCATCAATTTATGTTGAAAGTAACTATCCCTTTAAGGCTTTCAAAAATTAGGAGATTGTTCTCACTGCAGAATATGAAATCCCAGCTCCAACCCCTGATCCCTAAACCTACCCCTAAACCTACCCAGCTCCACCCCCTGATCCCTAAACCTACCCCTAAACCTACCCAGCTCCACCCCCTGATCCCTAAACCTACCCCTAAACCTACCCAGCTCCACCCCCTGATCCCTAAACCTACCCTAAACCTACCCAGCTCCACCCCCTGATCCCTAAACCTACCCCTAAACCTACCCAGCTCCACCCCCTGATCCCTAAACCTACCCCTAAACCTACCCAGCTCCACCCCCTGATCCCTAAACCTACCCAGCTCCACCCCCTGATCCCTAAACCTACCCAGCTCCACCCCCTGATCCCTAAACCTACCCCTAAACCTACCTAGCTCCACCCCCTGATCCCTAAACCTACCCAGCTCCACCCCTGATCCCTAAACCCACCCAGCTCAACCCCTGATCCCTAACCCCCCCTAAACCTACCCAGCTCCACCCTCTGATCCCTAAACCTACCCAGCTCCACCCCTGATCCCTAAACATACCCCTAAACCTACCCAGCTCCACCCCTGATCCCTAAACCCCCCCTAAACCTACCCAGCTCCACCCTCTGATCCCTAAACCTACCCAGCTCCACCCCCTG